CCCTAGAATCCCCGGCAGACTCAACTGGGCAGGCACAGGTGTGAGCAATTAGTCAGACTCGGTAATGTACTCGCCTGCTCTCAGCTCTTTGCTCTCCTGAGTCCCAGACGGGGCCCATTGGGCAGGCAACAGTGCAATTAGTTCAATTTGGTAGCGTTGATTCATCCAGCAGTAGCCCCCAATGCACATTTTCACTACAATAAAACAGAGCACTATGAAATAGGCCTAATCCTCACTTTGGCAATGAAGTTCTGCGTAGCATTGAATGAATCCACAGTGTCAGCCGCAAATACACTCTCCACAAGCAGAATATTTGTTTTGTTTAGTATTTGATACAAATCACCTGTGGATTGCAAATAGACATTGATCATTGATATTGATTACTGACTACTTGATGTAAAAAAAATTACTATTCTTTTTTTTTTTTAAATCATACCTATTGTCAAACTTCCTTTGTTATAATGGGAGTTGGGATGTTGTAATTTAGCATATAACAGACAACTGTTTTTGTTAGTGGCAGATACATGCACTTCAAAGAAACAGTGTGATATTTGTGGAAAGATGCTCTTTTGCCTTTTTGTGGAAAGTGAGAAGGTCGAATGATTAACCTGTTATATCTCAAGTGTTTAATCCATATTCAACTGAAGTGCAATAATGGCAATTTGTGGTTCTAAAGGGAATTGTATGCTGGACTATTTCTGAGCAGGGGACCTCCAGTGACTCCCTGCAGTCACCGCTGGCTGCCCTGAAACCTCACAGCGACAACAAGATCTATTTTGGATTTAAGTTTTTGTACAGATTAAAACAGCAAGATGAAATACACAAAATAATGAGCTTTAGACATACAGGAGTACAAAACTAGGTGCATATTGCCAAATGTCAAATCGTTATTATATATTTGATTTATAGCCTATTTTAATTTTCTGTCAGCCACCTGTGATAACAGCATACCTTTTATGTCTAGCTTGCTTATAGATTAGCTATTTTACCAGCCCGTTTTTATACATCTTGTATATTATGTGATGTCGATACAGCTTTTGTAGCTATTGGTTTAAATCAATTTGTATTAATGAGTAAATACAAATCACAGGTTTCCCATATTTTTACCAATGTTCTAACCAATGGCCTCCCATTTTATATATGCTGAAATATTTGGTATGGCTGTCTGGGATTCTACAACATCCAGGGCCTGACTGCAAAGATTTAACCATAAAGTATGTGAGCCGGAAAGGCGGCGCTGATAAATAGCGCACTTACCCCATTCACAGTAATTGAGGTGCAATCCCTAGCCCATATGGCGTATATTTGCCATGCGCTCTCAATAGCATCTCCATACACACATGTTCATAACCCTTTAATCAATTAGTCTTTGGATTGGAACGTCAGCTGGTAGCACTCAGGAACCCCACAGTCCCTCCCTCACACTCACAGGCAGATCACACTAAATCTCAAATCCTGCCCCCGACATCCCCTGACACGCTTTCTTTTGGATGCTTTTTATGAGTAATACTTACTGAGGTCCTAACTCTGGTGACAAAAAAAGATGGAGAGCATTAAAATTAAAGCATTGCACAGAATAAGCACATAAAGTGAAACACATGTTAGGCGTGCAGTTCATATTCTTTATTGTGTAAAGATCTGCATATTTCTTGCCATGTGTGGTCTCGTAACATGAATATATAATATATATGTGTTTGAGGTCAAAACTGTTTGTAAATGGACCCTAACCACCCACCCTGCACACCCCCTCTCACCACCTTGTGAGATTAAGAATGCATAGCCTGTAATGTTCTTTACCGTTTGCTGTATTTATGCAGCCTGCACACTCATTTAAATAACCTTGATTACTTTTATTTCAACGTGTGTTTTGGTGTGTGTGTTTCTGTGTGTGTAAGTGGGTGAATGTGTTTGTGTGTGGGAGAGAAGAAGGAGAGAGAAGCAGGTTACTGTGGTGATATAGAGCTTCTTGGCACTTTTAATTTCTGTCGATTATGACAGTATATGTGCAGCCTGGCTTATTTGTTATTATATCATCAAGTCTGTGTTTATTTTAATAAGGCTTATAATGAATGGCACTATTAGAGTGCTGAATTCAGGAATGTGCACAGGCAGAACAGCATTGATTGCCCATTCAGGTTTTCCAGCCTGTTTTCTTAAAGGGGGGTGTGTTGGGGAGTGGTGGAGGGGTCTCAGGACAGACTCACATTATAATTAAAAAAGTCCAACCATCCATGTGCAGTTTGTGTCTTTATATGTTTGCAGCTGAAAAGGAACCAATGCATCTGTGCTTGTTATTCTGACTTCATAGTGCTGTGCCGCCTCAACAATTCACAGCAGCAAAGCAAAGAAACAAAACAACAAACGTATTGATCCAAAGTTATTCAGTCTAGAGAACGGTTTAGTCAATTTTCAGTCTCGACAGAATCCACACTCCCTATTTAGGACCTGTTGGCAAAAGGAATGGGAAATAGACTTTATCAAAAGTCTAATAAATGTAATTGAATCAATGTTATCTATCGCTTTCCAGGATATTTAATGTACCTTTTTCAAATAAGATCAGACACATGTTGTGCATGATTGCAAACAAGGTTCAATGCATCTTTAATCAGAACATTCTCCTTTGTCTTTGCTAGTTTTTACGCACATTTGCAATTAAGCATGAATTTATTTTGAAGTTGATTGCCCCCTTCTTTCTCCCTGCTTTGTCTGTAGTTATTCAAATGAGAGCATAGCGACCTGTATTGTGCCTGCTGAGTTTATACAACTGCTATAGAGAATAAACAAAGACTGTTTAATTAGGTGCCTTACACTTTATTAGTCCTTAACTCATACTTAACACACATGCAGACACACACACACACACACACACCCACCCACACACACACACGCACACGCACACGCACACACACGCATCCCTCTCGAATACACACTGCCTGTGTTACAGTCCTAACTTATTAAATAATGAGGCTCTTGGAACAAAGAATAGTTAAACTGCAATGAGCGCCAACTAGTGTGTGTGTGTTTGTGTGTATCATGAATCTTTTTGGATGCTGACAAGGGTGGAATTGCTTGTTAAAAAAAATGTTTTCTTGGCCAGAAAACAGCAGCTTTTTGCTAACTGGCCTTTTTTGTCCTGATAACAAGAGATGCGGACATACTGTATGCAACATTTAAGATATTAAACTGGTGAAACCAACTTCATCTTTAAACGTATGCAGGCACATGTGCCAACGCTCTTTGTCTTAACTGCTTATTTTCTCTTGCTTTGCTCCCGCCTTTGTCCCTTTGACAACTTGGGTCCAGTAGACTCTTTAGGCTGGTCACCATGGAGACCCACCCTAAAGTGGCGTGGGAGTGGTGTGGGTCAGGGGAGGTCAAGCCAAGGGACTGTTTTGGCAAACGGAGCACGCTTCATTAGGCCTTTTGGCTTGGGGTTCATTAAAACTGCAGGAGAGGACATTCCAGGAGACTCTATTAACCAAAGCAGTCTGGTGACACGCTGTCAGGCCAACAGATTTCAAACATCTTGTGTTAAACCGCTGAGTGCCCCCCCTCCACCCCAAACACAAAGGCTCAAATCCACATATACACAATACACACTTGTAGACTTCATATACACGTGCACAAACACACTGAGAACCACACTGCTGCCACACTCACCCTCCCTCACACAATAGCCTCAATCTGTTGGCCCGTTCAACTTTCCCTAGCGTTCCTCTGGGGGTTGTGAGTTTGCAGGTGGAGGGAAGCACAGTCACACTGATATTGCTCATGTGACACCTTCAGATCAAAATACATGCTCAGAAGGTGGAGGGAGTTGTCGAGTGTTGTGGGAGTAAAGGAAAGAAAATATATTTTATGAAGGATGAAGTGTTAGAGGGGTACTAGAGGGGCTGGATGATTAGGTCAGAGTGACACGGTGGGAGGAAGTTGTATGGGTGGGAATAAATTCAAAGAAGGCACTGGAGAAGAATTAAAAAAAAAGGCATATGTTCTGCAGCCCGCTAGCACTGCATACATTTAATCTTATTTTTGAAGTGCAACATATGCCAGATAATGCGGCTAAAATGACTTAGAGAATCCTGTCAGATCGAGTCACATGTAAATCAAAACACTTTGCTGAGATCAAATCGCAATCAATGGCACTTCAGAGAGAGAGCCTGTCAGATCAGTGCTTTTAGCTGTCCGCTGTTTAAGCAGGTATAACTGGATTATCCCTGTGTTTCGGTTGGCAAGCCTTATCATGTTGTCTCTATGGTTGGTCAGTTCAAACTGGGCAGATTACAGTTTGCAGAGAAGAGGTTTAGCCTCGTTTGGAGCCCTGATATGTTAATTAAAGTGGATTTTCTGAAAATGGGACGGGCAGTAAGGCAAACTCCACCTCAACAAAGCCATAAGCCCATCTGTTGGCAGAGGTGTATTTGGGACTAATTGTGTGTGTTTTTCATGCCTGTGTGCTCTTCTATCCCTGTGAGAACCAGTCTGAGCCTTTCCCATTAAGGACATATTTGAGAAGTGAGGTCATTTTGGTCTGTAATCTGTTTTACAATAGGCTAGTAAATAAATCATGCTCCATTACAAATGATATGATAGCGTCGTGGTTTAGACGTTTGATGTACCCCAAGAATCAGAAGGAAAAGTGTTCCATAAAAAAAAATATAGGAGCCTTGAATTGGGTTTTTAGACTTGAGATGGGCTGCAGCATATCATACCGTCACAGCACCAGTATTCCTTGATTTTTGCCACCCAAGTGGTTATTTGCACCACTCTTAAAACTACTGGGTTAAAAAATAACCCAATCATAACCCAGCTGCTGAGTCACTATAGGACAGAACACACGCTGGGTTGTCTTAACCCATATGCTGGGCTGGATCATTTTAACCCATGTGCGGGGTTGTTTATTTGACCCAAGCTAGTGATTGAAATTAACTATATTGTTGGGCTAAATAGAATATAATAATAATGTATAATAGTGTAATGAATTATCTCCAAACACACCGTATATATATATAAAAATGCATTTATTGATAATTTGAACAGCTTTGGCAAATCGCCAACATTCCATTTCCACTATAAAAGAACAATGCATTTTAGCACAATACAAATTCAATATATTTAACTCTTAAATAAATAAAAACACCTTAAAAACAGTGCTAGGGCCTTGAGAAATATCTGTGTGTATTTTAACCATCACTTATGAGTGAACACAATTTTCAGGAACAGTTCTGCGTATTAATTTAACACATGGACCATAAAGACCCAATACATATAAAAGTATAAAACATCTACGAACAGTCCTTCAACTTGAAGCTGAACAGTAACAAATCTGTCAATGAACACAACAGAACACAGATGTAAAGCAGCAGGATGTAAACAGAGGAGAACAGTGTGTGTGTGTGTGTGTGTGATTGTTAAAGTGCAACTTTGTTGGTTGGATTAAACTGCCAAAAGCTTTTTCAGGCTCAACACCCTGGGCTTCAAGTTCCCCTCATCAACACTTTCTGGGTGAAGTCGAAAGTGTTGGCCAAGTCTTTTGTGTAGCTCAGATGCAGGGCAAAGGTCAGTGCAAAAAGCAGGATGAATGCGTCAGCCAGTGTGGGGAGTTCCATAACTCTGTTACCCTCAATGACAACAGCGATCCTCTCTGGGCAGAAGAGCGTGGTGTCTGTTGACCTGGCACTGATCATGAGAAGTCCGACCGCGATGCCCTCTGTGTCTGGATCATCAGACTGCTCCACCTGATGACAAGAACAGATAAACGTTACCCAAATTGCCTATCTCAGAAATGTGTTTTCTGAAAAATACATCAGTGACATATCACATCAAATAACCGTATGTTTTGTGCATAATGTGGGTTTAAGGAAACGCCTATTAGCATTGCACAACATAATGTTACAGCACTAGAAACGTCGTCTCCAAAATAACCAATCAGTTGACATAAATGCTTTCAACAAAAAAACATGTATAACCTTCATAAGGGTAGGATTTATTTTATCACTGTATTAAACTGTTACTATTAGATAGTTGTACCTAATAAACTGGCAACTGAATATATATTTACAGTATAATCTCTCCCTACTACACATACAAAAATATATGGGGAACACTAGAGATTATTTTGTATTGAACACTGATGCTGCAGGAAAGAAAGCCCTCTCTTGATTGTGTATTTTATTAAATCACCTGAGCCCATTTTATATACGCTTAATTTCAAATAAATCCTTAAGTAGAAATCATATTCAACACTTCTGAAGTGTTGAAGTAAAGGGAGATTATGTTCAACATGTCCATTGTGTACCTTACAATAATTACAATTCTTATGGCAATATTCAAATCTTGGAACTAGAACCTGAATGGGATGTGAGCAAAACAAGAGATAATGTTTGATTAACAACACCTGAGTGACAGAATCAAGCTTTGATGACACCAGGACAGTTCATACTTTTTCAAACTAAATCTATCATTTATTATAATTTTTTCACTATAAAAATTCAAATAATTGTCTACCTGCGATAGAGCTCCTGAAACAATGTAACAAGATAAACTATATTTGTGGATGATCTGTCACATACATTCAAAACAGTTATTATGCTGACTTACATGCCACAGCCTCAGAAACGTGGAGTCATCTTCATGCAGATATTCAGGCAGAGCACGGAGGACATGGACGTCACCTTGCTCCTTGAGTGTGAGAACATATGTTTGTTTTACTTTGGATGCTAAACAGTATAACCACACAACAATTGATATCACAAGAAAGGGCTCTTCCATGACTGAAGAGATTAACATTTTGACAAAGATAATCCACTCTAGTATGAGAATAAAACACCAAGAGGCATAACCGACTCACCTGGAGGTCATAGGAGGCGAATAGCTGATCCAGAAGTTCAGTTTCCTTTCCTTGCTTGCCGCCTTCTTCCTGAACAGGCTCTGAAGATGGAGGACATGTCTATCCAACTCCGCATAGAAGTGGTTCTTCAGGTTGAGGTTCGTTATCCTGTGAAACTCTGCCAAAATATAAAATGACTATTTAATTCACAGTACAATGTATATGTGGACTGAAGGCAGCAGAGATAAACAGAAACATAACATGCTAAATCTGAGTAAACATGTCAATGGGACACAAAATAATTATATAGTTGTAATAAATAAAATATTTTCACCTGTGACTCCATTTTCAAGGCAGGCCAGCGTTCCAGGATCTCTCCAACAGGTAGCTCATCATTGATGATCTCATTGCGCCGCAGGGCAAAGGTAGTCTGCATTAACTTTTAAATCAAGGGAATAATAATGTTATAATGTTCAAGTAACTCTGCCCTTGTATCAAAGACAGCAGCACAAAGTTTGCATCTCCAAGCCATTGGAAAACGTAACAATATTCACAGGCACCCTACAAACGGCGACGTGCGTTGACGCTTGCCTGCGGGCATGTCTGAAGCTAGACCAACAACCAATCACATGAAAGCTACGCTTTGCTCCCACAATGCAGTTCGGCTAAGCGTCAACACACGCCGCCATGTGTAGGGGCCGTAACTTCACTCCATTCACTTTGAATGGAGTGACTTCACGCTTTGCCAAACTGCATTGTGACAATCAAATCATATGCCAGTACAAGCTCTAGCCAATCAAACCGCGTGCTTGTGTGTCCGGGGCGGGATATTCATGTAATTGGTTGTTGGTCGAGCTTCAGACAAGCCCGCTGCCGTGTGTGTAGGGGCCGTAAGGATGCCACAGTTGCGCCGCTGCGAGGCTCCACTCGCCCCCCCCCCCCCCCAGCGCTTCACAGTTTCTCCACTGTGAGGCTTACCAGATTGAAGAAGCCATATATCTGCCAGTTGCGTCAGTTTCCTTAAGAGAAAAAACATTAAAGGTTAGCTGGGTTGCAAAGTTTTCACAAAATGAGAAACACTATTTTCGAACCTAAAATGGCGGTAGGCGGCGCGCTTTTCTTCTTTTTTGTTACAGCATGCATGTCTGTGCATGTTTTATTAACTTAGAGGCATATAAATTAATACAACGAGGATTTACGTTCATTTTAATCCACTAACGTTGTACCATAACCGTGCGTTCTGCATGTTTTTAAAAGCAAGCTAACTTGAAACACTAGACTATTAATCTGTTAAATCCGGCAGCCCCCGGTACCGAGGGCTTCTTGTTCACGAAACGTTGTCTCAGGGGCTTCTTAACATTTAAAAACCTATTAATGTGTCATACCCAGTTAACGAAACTCAGCTAACTGAAGATACGAACCATTTTTACCGAAACAAAACACAAGTCTCACTATTAAATTAGTCTAAATTAGCGCACAGAACTCACGGTAGAAATACTTTATTATAGGCTACTTATCGTAACTGCGCATACAAGATATCAGATTAAAGCTGAGATTCCACAGATTCTATAAGTATTAGTATCATCACTGCACGATCATTACCTTTGCTGAGTTACATGTATTTGAAAACGCTGGGGGGTATAAATTACCTTGTAAAATTAATAGTCTAGTGTTTCAAGTTAGCTTGCTTTTACAAACATGCAGAACGCACGGTTATGGTACATTGTAGTGGATCAAATTAATCCTCTATGCCTCTAAATTAATAAAACATGCCCAGAAATGCGGTAAAAAAAGAAGAAAGAAAACGCGCCTCCTAACGCCATTTTAGGTTCGACTTTTCCAGAAAACTTTTGCATCACAAACGTTCCACTTTGAGATATAACTTAAAACAATATAAAAATACTGTCTTACACGTAAGTTAAATCATTTCTCAAGTGAGGGAGATATTAAATGTAGGCTAGCTAACAAGAGCTCAAATCAAACTAGTGTTGCACGGTGTACCGATACTTGAAAGGTACCGCGATACCCTGCCGTTACAAACGGTACGATTCCTCCGTTTCATTAGTATCGGTACTTTAAGAATGACGGGGAAAAGTACTCCGGTGAGAAAGCGCCGTTTTAATAAAGAGCCGTGTGTGTTCAGCGCTCTGCTTCCACTCCCTGCACTGCAGCCGTGCCTGCAGTCCCGCCCCTCTCAAGCACGCTCTAAGTCCCTCACCTCTCTCGTGCACTCGGCCACGCGCTAGCTGCCAGAGCATGTGAGAAAACGAGAAGCATGGCTGCAAGTGGGAGTGCAACTGCCGCTGCGCCTCGGCTTGTTGACAAAAAAGACACCAGAAGCGAAATTTGGAAGTATTTGAGCTATATCTCTGACAGTGAGGGCAAGCCTACACCACGAGGCCTGTCTGTAAGACATGTTTTAGATCCCTGCAAACCAAGGGAGCCAACACATCAAACTTGGCTAAGCACCTCGCCAACCGGCATCCAGACAGGTTAGCGAATGTGATAGATAACATAATTACATCATGCTCAAGCCCATGCCCTCAAATCTAAGTCAAACCAGTGTAATTTATTTTGTGACAAACGAGGCAATTAATGGCAATGATAACTGTCTAATATGGCTATCTTTTTAGCTAACTTACCAATGTGGCTAACATCTGCAATATATATTTTGTTAATAATTATTTATATTACTGTACTATTACATGTTAATAAAATATTAAAACAATTATATTTTATAAAATAAAAAAGTTGTTTGAGATGATGCTGAATTTGATTTAATACGAATTCTTATCATTTATTTTGTTTATTGTTTTCATTGTTTAAAAGTTTGTGTTATGGTTATGGTTCTGGTGTGAAATAAAGCACAATAATTACATTTAAGATTGTTTCCCATTTTTTAAGAAAAGTATCGAAAAAGAATCGGAATCGCAATTCTTGACTTGGTATCGGTATCGAAACCAAAATGTTGGTATCGTGACAACACTAAATCAAACTAACACACCATGCGACACAAAGTGCATTAGATGCAGAAATGAATAACACATCATTTAAATACTGTGCAAAGGCAAGCCGTAACTCACCAGAGTAGTGCGGCCAAAAAAAAGGATCACGATTCCAGCACGGTGGGCAAAGTATTCTTAAAAGTCTGAGCGACTTCAACAGAGGCGAGGGGTAATGGCGGACTCTGGTGAAGGCATGGGCGATAGAACGTCTAGACACGTCGGGGGCGGAGCACATACGTGATGACGTCAGACCAGCGTCAGACAGATTCAGTAAAAATGTTTGAGTACTATTACCAATATGAACCCTAAGTGGTTGAACACTGTATACACAATATTAAAAATCAGTTCATAGTCATCAGAAAATTAGCGGTGAATTAACTTTTTTAAATGTTTGAGTTTAAAACAACCCATTTTCTTTCAGAAGCTTGTAATGTTCGGTCTTACACAGTGTGCAAGAACACTGGTGATTCTGTGAAATCACTGGCTGATTAGTGGTTTTGCAAAATCACTGTTGTGGTTGTAGTGGTTTTTCAAAATCACTTAGTTACTAGTGATTCAACAAGTTACAGAATTGTATAATTATATAAATATAGGTAAAATATAGGTTACATACCTTGTGTTGTGAGAAATGACAAAAAGATGGTTCCAGAATGATTCAGAAGTGGGAAAATAAATAAAGCAACCTCTGGGTTAAAAATAACCCAGGCAGGTGTTCAACTGCAATTGAAGCCCTAATAACCCCTTTGACCCAGCATGAACAACCCACCAGTGTGTTTACAGTACCCAAATAACCCATAATTATGACCCAGACAAATCAACCCAGCAATGTGTTTATAGAAATAACCCAGCATTTTTTTAGAGTACATTGTGCTTTTTGTCATCTTATGTTATGAAAGGGCTTGGTCTGCAGCAGGTAATGTGTATAGGTCAATCTGCAGTGGCCTATTGACTTTTTTTTGCCTTGAAGCTTTCAGCCAGCGCAGCTAAAATAAAAGTTGATCAGTTTTGTGTGACGGTTACAGTCGATAAAATATGAGGCACACTTGCAGGGGGAAGCCTTTTTCTCTTGCAGCTACAAGGATGTAGATGGATCATCTCTTAACCCTTTTGCATTGTAATTTGTTCTGTTCGAGTATAATTGATTTTCTAATTCTTGCATTTTTCTTTTGTCCCCTGTCCTAGGCTCATATTGCTCATGCAGCAGCATTACCTTACAATAACACATTTGTACATGATGATAACAACATATATCATCTAATCTTAACAAACACAGCACAGGATTTTGAAGAAAATAGTAGGCTAGTACTAGAGAATTTCCATTTCTGGCTCTCAATTCAAGACTATTGTCCATTCAAAACCTTTGAATATGCAGCACCTTTTCAAAACTTGCCTATGGATTGCATGGCCGCTTTCTAGAGAGCAACTCATGCCAACAACTTAACACTCAACCCAGTTCTTCCTTGGTTCCTCTGACTAATACTGTACACCCACTTAATGTGTAGCAGATCGGACAAACAGTTGTCCAGAAAATCAAATGACTTACACACAGTCAGAGACTATATCCATTTTACTTGGATTTGTACTCAATCGAGAGCCTGTCATAACAGAAGGTTTGCCTTGGGTTTGATGTGACCAAACTCCTTCAGCAACAATCATGGCTTAGTAATCACAAATAATGTAAAGGTAATTGGAACCATAGAATCGCTTCTTGAATAGTAAATTGCTTGACCTCCTTAATAAAAAAAAATAACCTCACTCTTCAGAGATACAAATTGTGAGATCTTCACCATTCTGATAATGCTGAGAGGGGAGGTGAAGATGAGCAGTACTGCTGACCTCTTTTCACTGTGGTAAAAGTGGTTAGTGTTATTGTTAATGTTAGGGAGAAGAATGAATTCAACCACTCAAGGTCTTTTATAGAGACGATGTAGAAGTGTAAAGATGTTTGTGGGAGGCATACACGTGTGTGTCTATGTGTGTGAACAGCAGATGATATATAATAGAACATAAGGGTTTTGTTATTAAAGTGGCCTTTTATTGCTTAATAGCTTTTGGTAAAGGCTTGCTTTGGATCCGTTCAATATTGTTTCTTTCCATGCCTTGTTTTTGCCCCCATTTTTAGCTGGGCCAGATTTAGCTCAGTTTCATCCGCTAATCCTTCTGTTTTGCTACTGACACTGGGAGAACAGCCTGGGCTGTGTGGCTCAGCCCCGCCTGTCAAAGCCTATAACATCTCTCACCAGGATCAGGTTATTGCCTGAGCTCTGTGTATCTTTATATTGAATTGCTTGTGATAGGAGGCTCTCTGTTTGGTGTGTGTGTGTGTGTGTGTGTGTGTGTGTGTGTGTGTGTGTGTGTGTGTGTGTGTGTGTGTGTGTGTGTGTGTGTGTGTGTGTGTGTGTGTGTGTGTGTGTGTGTGTGTGTGTGTGTGTGTGTGTGTGTGTGTGTGTGTGTGTGTGTGTGTGTGTGTATTTATTGCACATGGATGAGGTGGCTCTGAATGAGAATATTGGACACACAAGAGTGGGTACAACAATTGTCTTTTCTGACCTTACATTTAAATATTGTCCCCTCATGTTTGTTCCACCCACCCTGCCTACCCCCCCACACCCCACCATGTTTTCTGCGCTGCTCTCCGTTGGTCCATCACCACGGCGGGGTGATAGATGGGGCGGTGGAGACGACGAACGTTAAAGTTTGTGGGCCGTGGACGGACAGCTCGGCATGAATATCAGTGGCACAGGGTAAAGCGCTGGGAATTGGATGAGCGAGGGAGGCGTCAGCACTTTCCCTCCCATGCATTTTCACTCAGCCGGATTGAGTCTTATTATCTGACCCGGCTCCTCTTCCCTCAGTGACCTAATAATATTGCTTCAGCGATCCTGTACAGCCTCTGACCTCATGACTTCACACAGGAATCTGTTAGATGAAGACTTTTCCCAAAGAAGCCCGATACGTCTGAGCTTTCTTTTCCTTGGCCCCTGTATAATTATTTGCACATGCAGCAACTTAGTTATATTTATTTATCTCTGTCTATCTGAATGTAATACAATTAAATTAGCCTCACACAGCCATCAGTAATATCCCCGTATCTCATGCTGTTTATTAGTCTGATGGAGATTTTATCTAATACAGTCTCTCTCAAACTTGCTCACTAATCCTCCTCATGTTGTATTTCACCTAGACAAATATCTGTATAAAACCTCATCAACAAGATCTCATGTGATTTTTGGACGGTGTTTGTTTGTTTGTTATTAACAGCGGAAGCGAAATCGCAATATCAGTGAATTATGGTTATAAACATGGTTATGCAGGAGCTTGTTAGGCAGCTGAGGTAAATGGAGGAGATTTGGGAAATAATCCCTCCCCAATCTGGACACCACAGCTGGTTGTCTCAAGCCGTTCCATCCATCCATCCTGACACACACACACACACACACACACACCCACACACACACACACACACAAAACACACACACTGGCGCAAACACACTCTCGCGCAAACACACTCTCGCCCAGCTCTGAACTCCACGTTGCTGCCAACATGCATAGGGATACAGAGATGGGGATTGAAAGGGAACAGCAAAGAGTGTGTCCGTGTGTTTAATTGGGTTTTTCCAAATCCGCTTTAACCCCGATACATTTCCTTGCTCCGGCATCACTTGGTCTACAGGTCACCCAAAACACAGCAACTTGAAAATCTCTCCTTGCAGACTTGTCAGCAGTTGGATAAAGTTCAGGTCCGTATTCTGACTTCATCGCTATAGCAGACTTCTGAAGAAAGTGCTGCTGACGGGGATTAACCAACTATCTATCTATGCTGTCAGGCTTTTAAAAGTCCTCTTTTGTTTGCTACTGTTATTTTAGTGATGCCTGTAATTGTCCTTTCTGGTTGCTGGTGATGCATGCTCTCGGTCTGCGGCTGCCTGTTAAACCGCCCTCTCCTGTGGTCGACTGGGAGCCAGATTGGCCGTGGGAAAAAAACCCAGAAAAAACATGTTGACCTTGTCTACAGATTTAGAACACAGAAGCATCACTGATATGGCAGCTGTACTGTGGCAGGCAACAGAAGCCGGGGCTCCAATCAGATCATCAGGTCAGATGGCTGAAGTTAATGCCAAGGCTCAGAGTGTGGATGTAATACTCTCCTGCACGATGCACAAAGATCATTTTGAAGGCCTCTGTTGAGAGCCCTCAGTAGTCTGGAAGGTTTGAGGCCCCCTTTTTTTAATAACCACTTCATAAGAACTGTGGGTGCTGAACTAGTTAAATTATCTTCTTGGTTTTGATTGCATGTTGGGTGTTGAATATTTCTGTCTAAATTGTTAGCTACAGACTCCAAGCTGTCACATCCATTTTGTAATTACAGTAAGCACATTTTTTTTCATTTCTTTTGACAAGTGACAGAATCCGAGCTGCCACATTGCTAATGGCGATCAGAATGATTTAAGTGCGCCTCCCACACCATGCACCTTCCACACAAATACTGTAAACTACCAATACGAATATACAAGAACTCAAACACAAAATATATCCCATGCAGGCTCACTCCTGCTCCACTTTTCTGAATCAATCTCCTGGACATGACCCGATCTTTGCCTCTTCCACATATGGTGTTGCTTTCCACCAGTGCTTATTGCTTTCTTTGATTAATCTTCCTCCTTGCTTTCCCTGCCGCACTGGTCTGAGTCAGTGGACTTCCTGTTGGTTTTCAAAACAACTCTTCTTGTCAGCCTTCCTTCCTCCCATCTCCCCCTTCCCCTACTCCTCCCCCGTCTTCTATTCATCACTCCACAGCCCATTTTACAGTATCTTTCTGTCTCCTTCCTCCATCCGTTTCTTTCGCTCCATTACCTTGCTCATTCCTGTCCCCTTCATCTCACCCTCTGCCTGTCCAACCTCCTGACATGATTTTTTTTTACCCTTTTACTGTATTTCCCTCCTCTTCCTTGCTTTTCACCGCTCTGCATTCATCTTCAGGTCCTCTGTCCATCTCTCTCCCTCCCTCTCCACCTCTCTGTCAGGCCCCAGCTCTCTCCCTCCTCTGCCTTCGCCTGGCAGTGGAGCGGCTCCACTCTTGCTGACAGTGCTGTTTGTGTGAACTGAGTGCTGAGCTTCACAGCCCCCTCGCCTCCCATTGCCCCCCCCCCCTACCGCTCCACCGCCTCTCCTACTCATCCTCCACCACCTTCCCTCCTTTCCTTCTGCCTCCCACCTACATACCCCTTGAGGCGGGGGAATTAACCTTCCAGCCCTGGGCTGCTGGGCTTAATGACTGTCTGTGGGGCCAGCTCCCACTACACAACCCAGCTGCTAACATCTGTGCCACACACACACACACACACACACACACACACACACACACACACACACACACACACACACACACACACACACACACACACACGCACACACACACACACACACACACACACACACCACACACACACACACACACACACACACACACACACACACACACACACACACACACACTATTGGACCCTGAATCTGTGCCGCATACACAACATACGGTTACAGTCCTTGAATGTGTGCCACTATACTGTGTGTCATTATCATTTTTTCTTTATTGCCTGCTGTACAAATGCGGGAGTTTCTTAGCAATACTCCCAGAGACAGCGGTTGGTCTATCATTACCGCATGGCTGACCCATAGTGGAACAACAGATGCAGCAATATAACGGCTTTTGTGTTTATACAGAGTTGTACATATAGTCAACACAGAGCCATAGCACAAGCCTGGACTATCAGCCGACCAAATGAAAAATACATGCACACATGGAAAATAAACATGACCTTTTAAGTTGTCTTGCTAGAACAGCTTTCAGGATGTTCCGCTGAGCAAATAGTGGTATCCTCCAGCCACCATTCAGTTGGAAGTATATAATTGACAAAACGTTGGAAAGCAATATTCAGGAGGAAAAAATCAAATATCTCACGGTTGAAAGTGAATTCATTGCCCTGTCTCCATCTCTGCAGTGAAGCACATCACCCCAGGAGTATTCGGTATAGCAAATATAGTAATCTGGATACTCCATTCATTATGTATGAGCATAAATGTTACAAACTAGCAGCTGTGAAGACATCCATGTTGCAACTGTATCTTTGAGTGCTGCGCTGCTCCTTCCAACCCGGTACAATGAAATGCTAAATAATGGGATCCATGAATACTCCGCAGAGAGGCAGAAAAGAAAGAAACTACAGGCATATTCCTCCACTCTTAATACTGGCTCACTGCAACTTTATTACTTTTATAGCTATTTTTTCAGTCCTGCTGAAACAATAGGTCCAAAAACTTTTTAATTGGTCATTTTATTACTGCATGACCTTAAAAGTACATATCTTCTTTGAATCCTAGGGAAACAAATGCCATTGTTACGGTTTTTTCACATTTATTTGACTGTTCAGGTGACCCCCTCGCCACCAACACTTCTCATATGTAATCTTTCCTTCATTCTTCAGTCTACTACTGTCTATCTCTCTCCCTCTCTTTATCTGTTTGCCTCTGCCTTCAGTCTAAGGAGTGATAGAAGGGGGAGTCCCATTGGCATTCTTTAACACCTCCGTCGCTCACTTGTGTTCAGAGAGCCATCTGTAGATCAGGAAGACAAAAAGACGCTCCTGAGCCTTGGCGTCGCTCAACAGGTAAGCACAACTCTCTTTCTCTCATGCATCCACACACCTATTCAAAGATTCCTGGCTTTTTTAAGAAGGAGATACCCCCCTCTCTGTGTGTCTGTCTGTGTGCCTCACTCTTTGTCTGTGTGCACCCTAGGCAGGCTGATGTGCTTGAGTTGGTGGAGGTTGAAAGAATGTTCTGCCTCTCAGTCTCTTAACTTTTTTTCCTGGGAAGAGCAGGTGTGAGAGTGTGTGTTGCAAAGTCAGAGTAATCCAGTAAACTTGAGCAATTCAAGCTGAAGAGAGTGGAGACAAAGCACACTAACACCTATCTTGGGTTTCCTTGTGTGCCTTGAATTTGCACCAGACATATGAAGCTGCTGAGCTGCTGAACCAGGCTGACACTGCATGATGTAGCCGGTCTATCCTCAAGGCTGAGGTCTATTCTGTCTAAGAATAGAAATGCCTAAAGAATGGCATGTTTTAACACTCAATCAATCATTCAGATGTGATAAGATTCTGTTGATAATCTAATATTTGTCTTTTAGACATCCACTTTATCAGCAGCTCATTGTTAAAGCAGTGACAGCTTTTATAAGCTACAGTAATTGGAGCTACAGGCATCTGGTGAGATTGCTACGAAGTTAGGCTGGTATTAAGATGTAGGACCACATCTGAAATGGATGGCTGCACGGGGTTGAAACTTCATTTTCTGCACATTGACTGATATCATGGGGTTTCACGTTAAATTGGTCTAGAATTGAGTGTATTGAGTCGTTTGATGATGTTATGAAAGACGCCATTAAAAATATACCTGTCGGGGTCACGCTGAATGGTTCAGCTACTTCTAATGCCCTTGTGGGGAGAGTGGAAGCCCTGTGTCTGAAAGCGAATCACATTTCAAATCAAACTTTCTAATTTGCATTTGTAAGAAGCTTGTGATGAACAAGGTCAGTGCTGCTGTAGTAAAAAGTATTTTTATATTGGAAGACAAATGAAATGCTACACAATGTGCTATTAATCTAATGTTACATTTTAAGCAACCATTAAATGATATGTAAAAACTGCTACACCATCCCATATTTTTCATTCAAAGAAATGACCATAGTTCAGCAAATAAAAATTCTTGCAACTGTCATTATTCTTTTTTCAAGCAAATATGGCAGTGTATTGACTATGTTATTGGAATGTGGGGGGGTCTAAACAGTCTTCCAGTTCCGCTTACCAAAATGGATAACTGTGAATTACTATGCATACGAGAAGAAATAGTAACAGAGGCAGAATATGATGATTGTGTTTATGTTTACCATCACAAGCCTTTAAAGGGGACAGAAAAATAGAGAAGACGGGCACTGTTAACCTCAGAAAGTAATTATATTCATTGAAGAAGGAGGTAATTGCCCTTGTGTGTTGAAAAAGTATACTGGGGCCTCTGAAATACGCAAATGTTTTGAGAATCAACAAAATAATTGAGTGTGAGTTAATTCTTATCAAAGCCTATTGAAGTGCAACTAATCGACTGAAGGGAGATGCGTCAAAGAGCTGTTCCCTTCATTTCATTTAGTCTATTCAGATGAGAAAATATTTAGTTTTCAATTAAGTAAATCACTATTATTTGTTCCACTCCTGCAGCAGATAAATTGAAGTGATTACAAACTGACTTAAAATCCACAGAGGGCTTGTCCAGGTCAAATAAGGAAGAGTATTGGATGCTATGTGCACAGAGCCACAGCAAGACCTATGGACTCAATTCCAAAACTGTCCTGTGATCCATGCAAGGACCAGAACAACTAAACATGACCCTTTGTGATGTTAAGGCATAGTTCTGGCAACTAACAAACATTATTGCCATTGCAAATAAGATATGCTACCATTATGGTATTGGACTGTGTTTCTAAAGAAGGCCCTTTTCTATTCACTCCAAATGTTATATTATTTACATTGTTGATATTTGTCATACCATGTAGAAATTTAATTTCTAAACCTATTAAAGGCATCTCCTGCTTTTCATGAAACCATTTGTTTGATTTAAGTTGGTTGCAAAAGGTATGTTTACCTATTTATCAGGACTTATTAGAGATACACTTTTGGAGCTGATCCTGATTTTCTCTGCAAAGAGAAGCCAGATGAAATGCCGCAAAGAGCAACAGAGGTCTTCATAACAACAACCCACCATTTTTAAATGTAGAGCCCTTTGGATGTTGTTTTCTTCTTGTGACTCATCAGGGGACTAAAACTAGCTGAGCAAACTGAGGCCACTCAAGCAGAGAACGTTTCCATCTGAAAGACACATTATTAACACCATGTTGGGGAAACTAATACTGTGCTATTGAATTGTGATGAGACTATTATAAAGACCTTTTAATCTGCCTTGGAGCTTTCTTTAACTTGTTTATGTTTTCATTGCACACTCATGCAGGATTGATGGACTAATAACTGATTAATTAATCTGAAAGGTCTCCTGTAATTATGTTTTAATCATGTTTGTCAGAAGCTTGTGAGATGTGATGCTAAAGTGAATAGTAAATAGCAGACCCAAACTACAGTAAGTTGTCGGAAAGTAAAATCTTGAGAATAAAGAAGCACATTTTTAGAACTCATGTTAAAGTGGACCTATCATGCTATATTTGAATAATATATTGTAGGGCCATACCTATACAAAACATGTCTGTGAAGTTTTTTTTCCAAAATATCAAACAGATCATGCATTTTTAGCCATGCCTCATTTTGCTCTATTTGCTCTATTCCAGCCCTGTTTTTGCAAGGGCTGATTCTGTGGCAAATGAGCTGCAGCTGACCTCGCCCCCCTGGCAAAGGAGGGGGGCGAGGCACGAGTGTCATGTTACCATGCTGTTACCATGCCACGGCAACCCCCCATTCCCCTGATAGGTGGAGAGTTGCCCATATAGGCAGAGCTCCTTGTTTCTCAGAGATATTTCAAATCTGGATCAGTCTGTATCAGATCCGTTGCAGCCCCGTTTTTAGAGATGTGGGTATGGAGGAAAAGAGAGAGGGTTGTGTTTTCTGACACTTGGTGAGTTCCCTGACACACCGGGGACACATATTCATGTATAAAAGATGTACAAAAGTGCATTTTGCATGATAGGTCCCCTTTAATTTGATAGCTTCTTTTTACAACACTTGTGATTTCCTCTGAAAAACATATGCCTATTATATTCATGTGGGTTCAAAGAGTTTATGTATATTTCATGTCCTTTTTTTCATGGTTGTTCCAGGATTGTCGAAGGTCAGGTGCCAATGGTGAAATGGACTTCATGTCAGCATGGATTGTGTCTCCTTCAGCTCTACCCTTTCTCTGTCTCATCTTGGGTAAGATAATCAAATGTCACCATGAAGCTATCATTACAGCAACTGTGGCCTTTTCAAGACCCATCCATGTTCAGGGCATTCAGCTGAGTAGGGGGAACCTCAACTTTATTGAATTTCCCCTGTAATATAATAGCTTATGTTTGCTTGTTTGTATGTGTAACCTTCTCAAGTCACACAGTTTACAGTGACTGTTGTACGGGGAGATTAAGCCAGTTTAACCAACACATTTAACTTATAGTTATTTCTTTATCATAAACTGTGAAAATCTAGTCTAAGAAAACACATTTACTGCAGTATCAAAGAGCATCTTTATTCTTTCACGTTTCACTTTTTCAGCCTCGGAATAAATCAGCTTGAAAATTAAGACAAACTAATAACATCATTATTGTTCCCTTCCTCTGTTCTATTGCTTAGTCAAATAGAAAAAACAACATCAGCTTCCTTTTTAGCCTCTTTTGCTTGGGGAGCATTCTTCCTTTGAACAGGTAGAAAAACACATTTTAACCAATTTATTCATGGTCACAGGGGGAACTCTGTCTCAGGGTATTCATGTTTTATGCAAATAGCTTAATCCAAATACTGCCTAAACCGTAGTATGGCCAGAAGCGTTACTCCATGTGACAATATTGACATTTAGCTCAATGTAAATCTGTCCAATGTGAGTGGTATGGTGTTGTGAATGTCATCTTTAGCATTTTTTTATATACACTTGGAATGTTCCTCTTAATCTCACCTCCAGCTTCAATTTATTTATAGAGAAAATAAATAAAACACTTAACTTCTGCTCCTGGTATTATTTGCACAGTATTCCCTCTTAAGTTACCATGCTGATTAATAAAAGTTCATGGACCAAACATACCCCTAAGATATCTGCCAATATAATATAATTATCTCTTTTAGCCTTAAACACATATTAGCAGGTCAGACACCTTTCAAACCAGTGGTTACCAACCTTTTTTCCCAAGAGCCCCCCCAAATGACTCCTGTTGGAAGTCCCGTCCCCCCTTTGTGTGTGTGGGGGGGGGGGGGGGGGGGGGGGTGACTTCCAACAGGAGTCATTAAAGCGATAATTAAAGTTTAAAAGTCTCAAAAATGCTACAACTACTGTCACAAACTATGAATGTGAAGTATTTTGTTAAAGGAGGATGAAAGCGTAATTAAGGAGCACTATGGAGTGACTTTGATGGTTATTGGACTCAGGATTAATTCATTTGGATTCCCGCTGTATGAAGAAATTAAAGGACGGCGCGGAAGTGGAAACAATTCACAAAGGGATTAAACTGTTTAAAACACATGCGATTTTTCCGATGTGGATTCAAAAGTCGTAAATAATCTACAAAATGGAGGAGACCGGTAAAAAAAAAAAAAAAAAGTCTAAATGGGTCATTCCAGAATTGGAGGACATTTCATGTCCCCCATATAAAAAATCTAATAATCCATGCCCAAAATGTTAAAACATGCACTTGTTGTGTTAAACATACTTGTATTGAGACAAAATGTATATAAAGTTGTAGAAAAAGTGGTTTCAAAATATTATTTAAATTATCAAATAGCTCTCGAACATCCCCTAAAATGGCATTTTTCTCTTGTCCCCGCTTCTTGGTGACCAACTTGCATGTCAAATATAACATTTAAAATAGGGATTTTATTTACTTTTGTTGGTATTATTCTATTGATATATGTCTCTTGTAATGGTCAAATCAATTTGTTAAATCATAAACATATAACATAGATAACAGTAATTTTGCACAGAAGGTGTGTCCCTCAACATGCGTTCAACCCTGTTACCCAAACTTTTTTAGATTGGCACAGGAAGTGAAAAAACTGTAAATCAGATGACACAGTGGAAGTGACATCAGCAAGCCATGTGCTAGTGCCATGGGTAGACCAAAACTAAGTCCTCTCTTTTATTTTTCATATTTTTACAATCTTTTCAGTCTTAAAAGAGTGTGGCACTCAACCCTGTTACTGATATTATCAGAATAAAGCATATTCATTTACAAGTTATCTTTCTTGCATTAGATATCCAAGTTTGTCCTTGCCTTGAAACTAGCATTACATGCTACATCTAGCAATAATTCCTGAGGTTAAAGCTCAAATTAGCATTGATTTTCAACCCTGTTACTTTCAACCCTGCTATAATTAGAGTAACAGGGGTAATTCTTCATTGGAACATATTAATTTGATGCCTAGCTGGGCAAATCATTTTTTTTGATGGTTTATTATCTGTTTTTCCTAAATACATGAACAAAATAAAAGGTTCATTTTTCAAAAATGTTGGTGTCTAAATTGTCCTCCAATTCTGGAATGACCCAAATATGATATTTGGCCTCAAATCATCTGAGGCCTGGCGCCCCCCCTGCGATCTTCTCCCCCCAGGTTGGGAACCACTGTTTCAGACAATACTATATGTGAATTCAGGAATGTGAGGTATATGCTGTTGCTGAAGAGGTCGTGAAATATTGTCTGGAAAGAATATAGGCCTACATAGTCTCTTACAAACTATGGTGAAAATTATTTAAGAAATCAGGGTTAAGAAATGAAATGCATATACCTGTAAAGGTAGCTATCCACTCTTAAATAGAGAACTTAAATACATATTCTATTGCAGACATTTTGACAGATCAGATCATTAAAGCCCAGCTGTAATTAATAATATCAATTAATGATGACTGCATTGCGTTTAGCTGCCGAAGTTTCAGTACCCAGATAATATTGTGCACACCTGCTTACTGAGACACTTAATGTGAACAACTGTTCACATTTGTAATGTCTGTTTGTAGTTATTCAATATTTCTTTATCAACAATGGGTCAAATACTTAATTTGAGAGGTGGCCGCCGCCGCCGCACTGACAAACTCACAGAGAATTACCCCCTTTATCAGAAATTCCCCTAAAACATAATACTGAAACACTGTGGTCACTCACAAGTCTAAAATGCAGAATAATGGCCAATTGATGATAATGGATCATTGAATTCCCCTTCATTACAACTGACTCCGGTGGTTTAGAGACATAGACATCATCATTAGGCAGACTGGCTGAGAGGGAAGGGAGAGAGTGGTAGAGTGGGACAACTATCAGGAAACAACACACATGGTGAGGTATTACCTATGGGTATTACCTTGTTTTATCTTTGTGAAAAACATTACAATTTGAATCTTGGACTTACTAAAATGTAGGGTGAGGGAAGCACAAGCAGTGCAGTGCCAGTAATCTGTAATACCATTAACACAGGCTGTGTAACATTAGCGCACACTATAGCAACCATAAGCTAACCATAAGCAAGTTAGCTCATGGCAGCTAGTGTGCGATGTTACCATAAGTTTTACTTCAGGTAAACATAAACCTTATGTTCATTAGCTCTTGGTTTACTCTTATTCTGTTAAACAACTCTACAGAGGTTAAATATACGTTTTTATGAAACTACTATGTAGCATTATAGTCAACTTAAACATCAAGCTAGCAACAACTACTACACTTATCCTCACTAAAAAGTCGCCCCCTCTTTCTACCATTTTTCAAATAGAACAAGAAACCTGGGTAAATGGTGAATATAACATGTCCAACATTGTTATTTCCAATGTTCTGTTTTACACAAAACTTAAGTAGCAAAACCCTTGGATGTAATAAACTGAGCAAGGGTACGATCTAGGGCTCATACAAATATCTTGTATAGAGGTACATTGGGCCTATTTCTTAATGTAAAAAGTGACATGCTCTCATGAGGGTTCCTATAACTACATTTTGATACTGTACTTAGTATTGTTATATTTCATAAATAATACACTAGCCTATTACTATTTCTGAAGCGAATGTAGATTATTGTTGAGTATTCATTTATGTAAACTGTATGCAAATGTTCTCCTGTGTTTGGTTGTTGGTATGCATCCTCTGTAATGGCCAATTTTGCCCTTCATATTTGACGTGAGGTGACTGGTTGAGCCTTGATCTGAGAGCTCTGCCTCTCACTCATGTTGTCAGACGCAACAGAGCATGCACTTCACAAACAACTTGGTCATTGCCTCAATGAAGGTCAAGATTCAAACAGCCTAGCGGAATCAAGCTGCCTTCTCTGTGGGGCACTGTTTGAACGAGATTCACGCTCAGATATTTGCCATTAATTGGAGTTTTCAGTTGCATTTGGCTCCTTAAACAGAATTTATTCATACACTCTATGTATAATAATCCTAGCCCCATTTTTAGAAGCTCATGGACTGCCTGTTTTAAGGTTAACTTCCTGACTTAAATGCAATGCACCAAGGAATGTCACCGAAGAGCCTGGCTGAAGGATGGCGAACCCCACCTATGACAAACAAGGGGGATTAAAGTGATAATCATTACTCTTCCCAAGAGGAATTAGCTGGTGGGACATCGACATTAAAGAAAAACCGCAGGTGAACAAGGTCTCTGATACCCCATGCTTATTCCCTTCTCTCAATACCCTATCTGCATGCTGGAGGGGGATTTCATTCGCAGTAATTACTTTATTGACTCATTTTCAGGACCGTATCACTGCAGTTTCCCATCAATAAAACATATGCCAGCATGAATAATGTGACCAGACACAATGGGGGGCCTTCTCAGACAAAAGACTGCAAGACTGCTTCCCTGTGGTGTATGTTTATGGCATGCTCCCTCCACTTCTTTTACATCCTCCATAACACTCCTCAAAAATACTCACTTGCCTTTGTTCTTCTCCCCCTTTTTACATTAAATCCCATCACATCCCTTCCCTCCTCTAACATTCCACTCAAAGTCCTTTCCCCCTCTTCCCTTTTTATGTCTCCAGGCACGCATGCCCAGCAGGCCTTCAGGACTGAGCCCAGGAACCTCACTGTGCGGATGGGAGCCACAGCTGTGTTGAGGTGTGAGGTGCTGCGGGCCTCAGGGACTGTGCAGTGGGTGAAAGATGGCCTCCTCCTGGGACCACAGAGAAGGCTGCCAGGCTTTGAGCGCTACAGCATGATTGGAAACCTCAAGAGAGGTAAACAGGGAGACTCACAGAATAAGCTATATGGCCTATTGGGATTTGATGGACCCATCCAAGCTAAAAAAATGAACTTGTGTAATAAAAACACGAATAAAAAAAAAAAACAGAACTAGTCATCTTAAATTGCCAATGGTTGAATGACGTTTGCGACGGTCAAGACAACGTGTGTGCCTTAAAATAATTTCAGATGTGGAAATAATAAATGAAATGATGGTGTGCTACAGAAAGACTGTGGCTGTCAGTATTTGATTTATCCAGGGTACTGCTTTGTTATTGTGACATACAGTATAGTTCAAATAGTTTTAATTGTGAAGTGCTGCTGTCAGCTCAGGAGGCAGTGCAGCTTGGTGTTGGCTACTCTAAAAGTAAATGGGATGATGTTGTTGCTATGGCTTCAAAGTGCTGTAATAAAACAACACAGACATTATGGAACCTTATGCCACACTGGCTCTCTATACTGGGAGCATCTAGGAGTGAGGAGGTGATGAGATTGTCAACAGCCTCTCACACTGTCATTCACATGTGAAGACAGAACAAAATATTAAAGTGATAGTGTCAGCAAATCAGTGAAATGTGGCAGGGAATAAAGTGTGTTGCAGAATCTGCAACACAGTCTATAAAAAGTAATAGCCAATTAGACAGCAATCCAGAGTAAGAGAAGAGCATCTGTTCCTGATCAGCCGCACTTCACTGTTGCTCAGTGTCGGAGATCGCCAGCGACACATAGACACTGCATGCCAAACCACGCATTGTCTATATTTATTAACCCCTATAGTTAACATAAAAACAAACACATAAAATACTTAAATTATGTCTGTCAGCTGATTAGTCCTCAGTGAGCAAATTACGGTAAGCATTACCTGACATACAACTACATTAAAAAAGATACACATGCACATAAGGAACACAAACACACACAAGCTGTCAAACACTCAAACATACAGTCATGAATAAACAACCCATCAACGCAGGTACATTTTTGCAGAAACAAAACCTGCAAACGGATGTATGCAATCACTTTACACTGCACGGAAAGAGCAAAATCGTTAAGATGGCACTTGACTGCACTTGATACTCCACCAGTCTTTGCTGATTGTCCCCATCAGGGATGTTTATAGATGCTTAAAAAGCCTGAAATGACACATTTACAAAAACAGAAGAGGCCAGCATTGATTTCAACATATACTTACAGTTTAAGTAGCACCCTTAGTTTCAACAAGAGAAAGCAATGATGTAAATGTGTATAAACACGAGGCTAGATCTACTGTAGGATTTCATGCATCTACATGTGCACAATGTTGTGCACTGCAAAGACCAACACAAAGAACAACAGATAAAACAGCTTCAAGGCACTATATACAGTACTGGTCATGCAATCAATCAATCAGGTCAAATGTAATTATTAATGAACTCTTTTGTCTCATGTCATCACATTTACCCTAAGTGCACATTTTCCTCCTCTAATATCAGCATTTATAAAGTGAAACACCAAAGTCACACATCAATATTCAGAGTTTGTGGCATGTTGGCAACACTAGAATGTATTAGAAAACGAACAAATATTCTATAACAAGTAGGTCATACTACTTACATATATAATAAAAATAGGTTTAATTAATTTTGTGGCATTCTATACATTCTTGTTTAAGAATAAGAAGTGCATACTTTATATTTAATCAGCTTGTACCACTATTCACTTTCTGAAAGGATGAATGGCCCTGTAAAATGGAGGCTGTTTTTCAAAACAAACTACAAAAAAAAGTAAGTGAGACAAAGTATTCCCGGCTGCCTTAAAGACCCCGCATCAAGATCAACATTTTACACTTTTTCTCCTTTTCCATTGGGACTGGCCTCTCTTAATTATGTAAGAATACGTGTTGCCAGCTTTACCGCCAATACAAAAATGCAGATTTGCAGAGGAGAGAATGTACACTGCTGCTGACATAATGGCTATGTAGATTTACTGTATCCCAAAATTGTGAAGTAAAATAAATACAGAATAATGGACAAATAAGCAAATCGGGAAGCAGCCATCCGCCATCTCCACTACCATAAATACACACTCTGTACAACTTGATTGCACTATTTATGAGTAATTCTAGGAAAGAGGAATATGATTAATAACTTTAATGTCTCTCTCTCTGCACTCAATGATAACTTAGATGTGAAAATTGCTTCTGGTTGGTGTTAATTATCTTGCCAGCTTACTTGACACATGCATTTTTTGGCCAGGGTGGTTGTCAAACCAAGATACTATTTTGTACATGTTAGAAGGCAGCGAGCCAGAGAATCAGGAGCTGAAAAACCAACACTGAACATCATCTAATCCCCAGAGGTTATGGCAACGCATCAAACAAATCAAGTCATTTTGGCATGCCAGACAATCAGAAGAGAGATACCGAGAGAAGGACTCTGCCTGGCATCAATTAATAGACGGTTTATTCGGTTGGCGTTGTGAATCTGGAATTTAATTTCGTTTACCATGCTGGAAAGTCATTCTAAACAAAATGCCTCGGCTATGAGTACAGACAACCACTTGCATGTCAATGGAAGTGCCTGCAGCGGGGGGTTCCCAGCAAGTGAGATGTTTCCATTTTACAGAAATATGAAAATAGTCTATTTATAATCAAATCAAATACCCACGCGTCAGCAGTAGAGGATATTACCGTATTGAATTGAAAAGCGAGACTGTCATTGTACAAATTGCTTTTATTGTTAATTTTCCCATTTCCCATGTTGAAAATTGCCTATAATTCAGACCCCCTGAAATTACAGAAGAAATAAAGCCTGCAGGAGGCATTTATCGATACACATGTAACAACGCTGAACAGTGAGTGCTATATTCAGTGGGGAGTAGAGAAGAAAACCAAACAAGCGTTTATTTTCTGTTATTATTATGCTTTTAGTGAGAACATACTTATCACAACATAATGTGTCTCGTCGATCTCTCCCTCTCCTCTTCAGGACAGCATCATCTGCAGATTGAGAAGACCTTGCTGGAAGATGAAGCTTCATATGAATGTCAAGCGGGACGATCTGATAGCAGTCAAGCTATCATTTCCAGCACAGCATGGATCTTCATGTTAAGTGAGCACAACCATGGAAGTGTGAACAGAGGGGATGTGTGGGCTTATGAAATTGTACCTGGGAAAGTATTGTTAGTTATGATTAAAATAACTTACACACTCACTAATTCGCAAAGGGAAAATGACAACTTCACGAAAATCTCACCTGCTCTTTGTGCTGCATCATCACTCATAATTGATCTGGATAATTGTCTGCCAGAGTGTGCTTGATCCCTGTATGTCAGGAAAACATGTAACAAAATGTTGTATGTAGGCACAGTGAGCATTCTCAATACTCCACTTACATACACAACCTCCTGACCGCTAATCAGCATATAAAGAGCTGTTACATATTCATTTCTATTGATAAAAAGTTTGAATTTGTTTAAGATTATGCATTTACAGCAGCACACACTTGAATTTGGAGACTACATTTAAAGTAAAGTACAGTAGATCTCAGCGGTTGCCTTCATGCACTGTTTTTGAAGCATGTATGAACCATGTAGAAAGTATACATTTTCATAACTTTTCAGACTATTTCTTTCTTTCACACGCATCATGCCTTCCCCACATGTTCCAGTAGGTCTTTGGCTTGAACAAGCAGCTACACAATACAGAGTGCTAACACAGCCTGGATTCCCTGGCAAGCCTCTGGGCGATCCACGTCTCTCCCTTTCACAGGAATACATTATATCAGAAGTGATTGAAAAGTTCCTACTCAGACATGCGCTTGAATAGATGTAATTGTGCGACTATATTAGACCACCTGTTGTCACCTTTAAAACCACCCGGTATCTCTCTCTCCCTATCCCTCTTGCTTGTGGGAGCAAGCCCATATGTGGCAAGGAAAGGACTCTAAAAGAACCTTTCTTCTCCAGGCGCAGTTCATTTGCTTGCACCCCCCCCCCCCCCCCATTCTGCACAATTTCTCCCCCTCTCCCTTGCTTTCCGGCTTTCTCTTTGGTGACCATGGAGAGGGTTTTTTTTTTGGAAAGGGTGGGGGGGTGGCCGTGGCGATTATAGCAGCCTCACTCTCCTCTGGGAAGAAAGCAGGTTTTTCTGACATCAATGGGCCGGTGGGAGGGATGGCGGGTGGTGTGGGATACGAAGAGGCATAGAGCGCAGACGTCTCCTTTGAATAGCTACGTTCTGCTCTACACTGCAGCAGTCTCATGTTCTACAGCAGGCCTACACCTGCAGCCACAGCAGGCTTGACTCCCACAGTTATTACCTCTGAATTGCCTATTGCATATGCGCCCACATACACAAAGTCAACAAGATTGCCTTAGGCTATGTCGTAAAGGTCAAAATGTGTGGGAATTATGTTTCGTGTTGCATCAGGGATCACTGGTACTCATATTTACCATGACTGAAACCTACTGCCACCATGTGCCTGACATGCTCAGATATGAATGTCAGCTGGTGTTTTTGTTCAGTGTCTTGGGAACACTTTCCAGCTGTTGACTTTTTTAAGATGGACAGTAACAGCTGTACTCTTGCAAAGGGCGAAGAGTGAGGCGACTGCCTTTTAAAAGCACTCTGCAGCCTTGGTCCTAAAGCAGGGGTGGGGAACCTTTTTCCTCTGAGGGCCGTACAAATTATTGACCTCTGCTTAAAAATACGAAAATCACAGCCCATTCATTTGGCCTTTCTTTCATGCTGTGCAAAGAAAAGCACCTCTTAATCCAGATATCTTACCATGACTCGCGCTTGCATGCACGTGCACTGTTGTGGCATGACCACCAAAACAGAAAGATATGGACACAAGATGTGTGCAAATGTATTTAGTTTCCTATCCATGTTACATTACATTGCATTTAGCTGACGCTTTTATCCAAAGCGACTTACAATAAGTACATTCTACCAGGAAGACACAACCTTGAAGAAAACAGAATCATATAAGTACATCAGGTTTCATAGAGCCAAACATTTCAAATGCTACTCAACTGGCTTTAGGTAAGCCAGTCCTTTATTAGTATATAAGTGCTTTGTTAGTAATTATATCGCTCGAAGTGGAGTCGAAAGAGATGAGTTTTCAGTCTGCGCCGGAAGATGTGCAAGCTATCTGCTGTCCTGATTTCAATGGGGAGATCATTCCACCATTTTGGAGCCAGGATAGCAAACCCACGTGTTTTTGCTGATGGGAACTTGGGTCCCCCTCGCAGCGAGGGTGCAGCGAGTCGTTTGGCTGATGCAGAGCATAGTGCACGCGCTGGGGTGTACAGTTTAACCATGTCCTGGATGTAGGAAGGGCCAGATCCATTCGCAGCATGGTATGCAAGTACCATTGTCTTGAAGTGGATTCTAGCAGTTACCGGAAGCCAGTGAAGGGAGCGGAGGAGCGGCGTGGAGTGGGAAAATGTTGGAAGGTTGAAGACCAGACGAGCCGCTGCATTCTGGATGAGCTGCAGAGGTCGGATGGCACATGCAGGTAGACCAGCCAGGAGGGAGTTGCAGTAGTCTAGGCGTGAGATGACGAGAGCCTGGGCCAGAACCTGCGTTGTTTTCTGGGTCAGCTGGGGACGTATCCTCCTGATGTTGTAAAGCGTGTATCTGCAGCAGCTGGTTGTAGCAGCGATGTTTGCAGTGAAGGACAGTTTGTTATCTAGGGTCACACCCAGATTCCTTGCAGTCTGAGTCAGGGAAACAACAGCGGTGCCAATGTTGATTGTTAGGTCAAGAGTGGGACAATCTTTTCCCGGAAGGAAAAGCAGTTCAGTCTTGTCAAGGTTGAGCTTAAGGTGGTGAGCAGACATCCACTGAGAGATGTCCGCTAGACAAGCAGAGATGCGTGCGACGACCTGGGTCTCTGAGCGTGGAAAGGACAGAATTAATTGGGTGTCGTCAGCGTAGCAGTGGTATGAAAAACCATGCGGGCTAATGACTGTTTGTGTACAAGGAGAAGAGGAGGGGACCAAGAACAGAGCCCTGAGGGACCCCTGTAGTTAATTGACAAGGGTCGGACTCGGACCCTCTCCAAGTTACGGTCTTTGAGGTATGAGGTGAGGAAGGAAAGTGCAGAGCCTGAAACTCCAAGTTCTTGGAGAGTGCGAAGGAGGATCTGATGGTTCACCGTGTCGAATGCAGCAGACAGGTCCAGAAGGATGATGACAGAGGAGAGGGAGGCTGCTTTAGCAGTGTGCAGTTCCTCAGATACCTCATTCACACCAACGCAACTCCGATTCAAGCTCCGTGCTAGAGCTTTTCAGGTTCAGAACCAGTTCTTCGGTTTAGCTCTGGCTCTTTTCACACCGCCCAGAGTCCGACTGGTAATGCGTCGTTGCGTCATCGTCAGGGCTCTCGACTAACTTTTTTCCCCATCCTCCCGGAACCGTCCCGAAATACAATCTAAGCCGTCCCGAAATTAATGTGGACCGTCCCGAATTTAACATTTTTAGTTTTTCTACATTATCATTAGTTAAAATCATTCAAAGTGACCTTTAACATAAATAAAACATCATACAAATCATTAGTTGATAATTCATCAACCTTTTTATTTGAGTAAATAATTCAATCACATAAACAAAGGCCAAATATATTTAAACAAACACACAAACGAGAAAATTACTCTAATATTGAATCCAATCAAGTCCCATCCAATTATCAAAAAAAATCCAACACTGTCCTGAAGACAGAACCCAGAGTAACCACTAACCAGGATGACAGTCTGTAACACAGTCAGGAGACCTTTACAAACGGCCCCGCCCCCTCGCACACAGACGGGAGAGAGAGATCTCGTCTGGATTGGAAAGCTCGAAAATACATCATAGACGCATGTTGTAGTCTTATTGCATATTAGAAACGGAGTTGGCGAAACTAAAACTGCGATATAATGTGTATGTAGCAATAATACATATGACATATATTTTTTAAATGTCTCCAGTACCGATAAAAAGTCCGATAACGTCGGAGCTTAACGTTACCACTGTCTTTAATAATTCCGTCCCGGGGCCCGTTTAATACCGGGGCTCGGTACCCATCCCTACATGGGGAGAGGCGCAGCATATTGCTAAGGACTAAATACGATGGAGGGTTCTCATCTCAGCCTTATTACTCATAGGGGATGAAGAGGAGTAAGTAAATAAAGAGGCCGGCGCTCCGGGGTCTGGTTCTGCGGTGCGTTTTTGTGATGTAACGGTAAAACATTTCAGAATTCCTCCACGGGATGACATTGTCATTGAACATCACTCAACCCGCGAAATACACACTCAGTACATAGCTAGACCCGCAAATTCGCGGGCACAGCCAGCTGGGCGGCTGACTAACAGCCAGCGGCACAACTGTAGCTACATGTGTGTGTATTTCGCGGGTTGCTAAATGTTTTGTGCTTGTGTGTTTATGTTGACAAGGAGGTTTAATAACTGTGTGCTACACAAAACGTGCAGTCGGTTTCATTTTCATCGCCGTTTGTAGTAGAGTTAGCAGGGTATTTTTATTTTAACTCTCGTCCCAAATTCGTCCCAAAATTATTTTTTATCCTCCCCGACACTATTTTTTTCGACGACGGGACGCCCTTAAACTCGAGCCCTGGTCATCGTTTGCGTCATGACGTAACCGTTTGCGTGCCTGCTTCATAAAGCCAAACTGCGCGGATGAAATCAGTTGCATTCATTTCTTATGGCTCTATCTGCAGCTTTTCCGGAGTCATTTCTGTGGTTTAGTTATATTCTTATAAAAAAGTGTACTCGTGTCAATAAAGGTTTTTTTTAAACACAACTGCTTCCGAGGTCGGTCTTATTTCTTAAGGTGGACTGAACCATGAGTGTGGAGTAACGTTGTATCTTTCATTTAAATGAACTGTAACCTTCACCTAGGTATGTAACAGCTGTTCTCAAATGAACACGTGAAGTAAAGTTTAATATTTATAGTTTTATAGATTTATAATGAGTTATAATGAGAGGTGATCAACGTGAATGCTCAGGTTCCACCTTAACACGCAGACACGTTGCTTCACCATGAGCAGAAACCATACAGTCTATCAGTGACGTGCGGTGAGGTTCATGGCTGGTGAGGCACTGACTC